CACCTCTCTGGTCAGCTTGGACTCTGCCAGGCTGCTGGGTGACAGGGCAGTACCGCAGGGTGTCGCTCCTGCCGCTGCCGGTTCTCCCGCTGCTCATGCCACTGTTGCTGCCACCACTGCCGCCAGCTCCACTGCTGCCGCTACCGCTGGTGCCACTTGCCCCGCTGCTGCCGGTGCCGCTTATGCTGCTGTCGCCGCCGCCAGCTCCTCTGCCGCTGCTGCTGCCGCTGGTTCCCCCGCTGCTGCCGCTGCTGCTGTTACTGCTGGCGCTGCTTCTGCTGCTGTCGAGGGCGCCGCTGCCGCCGCTGCCGGCTCCTCTGCTGCTGCCGCTGTTGCTGGTTCCTCTGCTACTGCCGCTGTCGCCGGCTCCGCTGCCGCCGGTTCCTCCCTACTGACTAGTTTTAAAGGTGATATCCTTTCTGGGGAGGGGAAACTTCCGTGTAGTTCTGGAGGCTGGGAAGTCCAAGATCAGGGTGCCAGCATGGTTGGGTTCTAATGAAGGCTCTATTCTGTCTTGTAGACTGCTGCCTTCTTGCTGTGTCCTCACATGGTGGGGAGAGAGACCATAAATAAATACTTTTAAAGTATTTTTTCTGTTTAAGTTACTCCCTTCCTGACTCTACCAGTATTTCAATCAGTAATCATGGGTAGAAAGATGGAAATGAAGACTAGGGACTCCAGAATCCCAATATTCACAGTATCCTCAACAAAGAAAAAGAAATTCTACCATCCCTAAAAAAATCAGGAAGTTAGTAATTCCCAACCCTTTATGAAAATACATGGGCTATAAAGAACTTCAAAGGAATGGTTCTCCAGGTAGGCAGTAAAAAGGGAGAGGGAAGCAAATCATTACATGATACAATGCAGTTTTGCACTCTAGAGAGCTCCTAGTTTCAAATGACCACTCTTTGACTTTCTGTATTTTCCCTCACTCTTATCACAGGTAAAACCAAGGATACCATAGGTTGTCCTAAGCTGCTTTCTCCATAATATGAAAACTGGTTTTCTTTCTTTTAAAAAGGGGAGGTGGGCAAAAGAGAGACAACTTTTAATTAGAAGGAAAAAAAAAGAAAAAACATATCAAGTTCTCATAAAATCACTGACCTGTATTCATGACACTGAGTAAAATACATTTGGAAATGTATTGAAACTTGATGGAAAGGAATTCCCCCCACCCTGAAACAAGGTAAGCAATGACCCACCTCTGGAATAAAAAGAAAACATGGCAGTCAGTGCCCATCTGGTGTGGCCATGATCTTGGGATTGACTTCTGAGGCTGACATTCACTCAAAATCTATCACCTGATAGTCAGTTTCTTGGTTATAATCTACGAGTTGCCAGTGTTTACTTGTGAGACTGTTTGGGAGCTGGAAGGAAAGGAAGGTAAATACACCAAAGCCCAGCTGAGCAATCGATAGTTTTTACATTTTTATTTCCAGGAAATGACATCTTGTTTTCACAAAGAAGTAAGCCACCTTCTCAAAATAGAGGCTTCCTTCAGGGGCAGCTGTGGGGTACATCCAAACTGTCCAAAACAAATGTCAACACAGGTGCTTCTGAGGTATCAAAACAATAACAACAACAACAAATTTAAAAAAACAAAATATAACTCAAATAACACATGTAGAGGTGCACAGTCTATTAAGACCTTGAAGCAGTCAGTGCCATGAGTCCTGGTGGTGCTTCAGACAATAATGACACCAGGACACAGAGGTGAGTATAAGGGACTTCCTAACCCAGTCTCTGTCCCTCATGGCTTCAGATGACCTGCAGAGTGGACAAGTTGTGTCCAGAGAGAATCCTTTAGATCATCCCAGGCTCCCACTGCCCGGCAGTCTTTCAATTGCCCTTAGAGAATGGTCTTCAGAACAGTCTCTTTGCTTGGGAGAGAAAGAAAAGAGATAAAGGAGGCCCCTGCATGTCCCTTCCTTGGCCTCCCTTGATTCCATCCTTGCCGCCCTCAGTCCCTTCCCCACACAGCAGCCAGAGTGGACTGAGAAAATGTAAGTCAGATCATGTCACTGCTCAAAGCCTGCTCGCCCTTTCTCTCGGAGTAAGAGTTAAAATCAAATCCTTTCCAAGGCCTTCGTGGCCCTACACAATCTGCCCCCCTGCCTAACCTTCCTCATCTCTTGCCACCTCTCCATCACTCACTCCACTCCAGCCACACTGGTCTCCTTGCTGTTTCTTCAGCAGGGAACAGCCCTTTGACCTACAGATGGAAGGACCATTCGGACATGGCAGGGCCTACAGAGTCAACAAGGAATTCGTGGTTCTAGGACTTCCTGGGTTGCTAGTTCATATAGTCCAATTAATCTCACAACTGACCTTTGCTGAGATGGTAGTCCCTTCTCCCACTGAGGGAACAGTTCCTATGATGCCCTTGTCATTTCAAACTGTATATTCTGAGATGCCAATAAGGGCGACAAGGAAAAACAATTAAGCAGAGCAAAAAAAAAACCATCTTGATGACAAGGAAAGGAAGGACAACAGGAGACAAAAGAAGAGAGAAGAAAATAAAAGGAGGAAAAAAGAGGGACTGATGAGAAATAAGAAAAAAGGTTCTAGTAACAAATCTGCTTATTTTCTATCCCATGAAAATTCTGAAAAGCACAAATTTTAAAAAGTCAAAAATTTAAAAGTGTACGGTGTTATATACTTACTATTTGAGTGTATGGATGTGAAAACCCCCACCCCATCCCGAGTGTACTGAGAGCCATTTTTCCTTACACAAACACTGTCCTATACAAGGCAGGCAGGAATGCTGCCTTCACGCACATGACCCTCTAGATTCTCTAGAGGCAGGATTGGGTGTTAAGGTTAAAAGTACCTGCTAAAAAATTTTCTCTATGGATGAGACACAGTTACTACTGCATCTCCCCCAAACATTCCCTTACAGGGCTCTGTGTTTCAGCAAAGGATGGGCAATATCAGGGAAAGTCTTCCAGGTGGGCAGACAGATAGTTCTCAGAACTTGGGCTCTGCCAGTTTCTGCTGTCCCATATCTGGACCATCTCCCTCTTAGCCTACAGGAGGCTGACAAGAGCCATAGGCCATGTGGTCTGACCCAGGCCTGTCTTACCTGAGAGCCCCTAACCTCTGGAGGAGCCTCTGTCTCACAGACTCACTAAAGCTGTGCTTCACAACCCTTTCTCCCCACCTTAGCACACCTGAAGGCCACAGCACACTCTCACTAGTAGCCTCAATTAAATATTAAAGTAGCAAGGGAATACAGTTGAAAAAGACCCTGGGTTGACAATCATTATTCTAAAGAACCAATGAGATTTTATTTCTAGTTCGTTTGCTTTTTTCTTTTCTGAGCACAACCCAAAGAAACTGCTAGAGAAAGTAAAAAGTGAGTGTTAACCAACTAACATCTAAGTATTGTCAACCAACTAACATCTAATGAGAACAGAAGAATCGGGGGAGGGGAAGCAGCTGACAGAAGACTGCTCCTTCACTTCACCAGCTCCACAGGGAAAACCTATAGAGAAGATTTCAAAAAATCTCTTCCCTTCAGAAAAAAATCTCATGTCAATATTCCAGAGAGCCACAATTACTCAGGCAAAAAGATTTACTGAATGTCTGTTATCTGCCCCAGCTCCAGAGCTTCCTTTCTTCAACTCAGGATCCAGTACCCTAACATTCTCCCCCTCCCCTCTCCCCGGGCCTCAGAGTTTATAATAATAGATCAACGGCTAATTAGTCATGAGGCAGTACTCCCTCCCACTGGGATATGGAACTCTAACATAACAACCAGTTGAGGTGGCACAGGAGGGGGTCTGCTCTTGGTGAAACCAGAGTATAGGTATGTCTGCATGGGCAGCCCCCTGCTGCCACAGGCTGGCAAGCTTCCCTCTCTGAATTCGTGATAAGAGCAATCCCTGCCCAGGGCCCTGGCACAGTGTGAGAATTTTGACAATTATAGGGTTGCTACTCCTAGTTCCCAGATCCTAAATTTGGTCCTTTTAAAAAATTCCCATGCACTGGGGATTAAAACAGCTTTCAATTGGCCCTAGAATATGCAAGGAAAGTTGGCATTTGAACTGAGAATTTTCTCTAAACCCCACACTGCAGCCCGGTGAAGCTGCTGATGTCTCTGGCACATCTTTTCCACAAATTGGGTCTCAGAACCTTCTATCTGTCTCTAGAGAAAACCTCAAAGCTGCAGTCACTGTGATAATTGCAGAAACCAAGATGGGTGCCAGAACTGTTCTCAGCTAACACGTGCAACAGGGAGGCCGATTCAGTTTAGTACGTAGCCCCCTAGTGTTACCAAAAAGGTGGAGAGGTACTCTCTTCAGCCTTTGAAGAGAAAAGGGGTGGGGGTAGGGAGATCTGATTATTTACTCTGCAGAATTAAATATGTGTAAAGGGAGTAGGAGAACTTGGGACACAGGGCTCTTCTTTCCCTTTCCAAAGATTCATGAAGCCATCTACTATGCTTTGACTGCTGAGAAGAAACCTAGGCAGTGGGCTGGGCAAAGAAATCACATGGGTATCCCCACCCCCACACAGACCCAGCACGATTTAGCTCAAAGACCATAACCTAGGGCCGGCCCATGGCTCACTTGGGAGAGTGAGGTGCTGATAACACCATAGCCACGGGTTAGGATCCTATGTAGGCATGGCCGGTTGGCTCGCTGGCTGAGCGTGGTGCTGACAACACCAAGCCAAGGGTTGAGATCCCCTTTCTGGTCATCTTCAAAAAAAAAAAAAAAAAAAAAGACCATAACCTGATCTTGGTCAAATCTGAGTTCCCAGGTTACTGCTCCTCTCAGAAAGGGAAGCAGGGGGGTGAAAAAAAAAGAAGCATTCACAAGGCCTCAGTAGACACTTCCTAAGCCTTGGCTGTCCTCATGCAAGTCTTGCACCATGTGAATGTTATGTCTTATGTGGGCCACAAGGGGTAGAGGTGGGGGGCAGGTCACTGTCTCTCATGCCTATGATTTGCTTGTACTATTTCCTCTGCTTGGAAAGGTAACCTTTAGGGAACCTTTAGGCTCAGTTCAAATGTCACTTCCTCCATGAAGCTTTCTCCCATATCTCCACCTGTCCTCCCCTCCTCAGAAGTTTCACAGCACCCTGTTGTGGTACTCATCACACTATCTACTTGCCTTTTTATTTCTTCCACCAGATGGTGAGAACTGTGAAGGTTGAGATGTTTTATTTTTCTTGATGTCTAGTGCAGTGTTCCTACAAATACTTATGAAGTAATGGGAGGTGAAAAGAAGAGCAATGGGATACTGCCAGAATCAAGAGGCTCTTGGAGGTATATATCTGTGGGGGCTCAAAACTGTGTACAAAATCCAGCACACGAGTGTCCGGAAAATGGAAAATACTTTGGTTCCAAAGAACCAACTGAAGGCTGACCTACTCTGCCACAAGCAGAATGTCTTCTTCAGGCCTACCAGTCTTGGGCACACTCCCTGACCAGCAGCTGCACTACCGGCCTTTGTGACAACCTTGCTGCCTCCACTCTGGCTGACCAACTGAAGGCCAGTTTCATACCACAGCTGCTTGTAAATCAGCATCAGATTCCTGGCTCTACTCAAAGTGACTGACATCTGTTGAAGGGTTGGGGAAAGGAAGCAGTGGATAGAAGATACTATTCTTAGCAGTGTGGGTTTCAGCTGTCTGGCTTCTCTGGACTTAGACAAAGGTACAACCAAAGACACACATGAACATGCGTTTCCAATGGCCAGGTGGGTGGGAACTACCTGTACGGGAAACGAGCTTCTGGTTCTTCTCTGATGGGCCTATTATGTACAGCCAATTGACATCACAGCACTTTGGCTCTGAAGCTTTCCCAGAAGGTAGTGCTGTATTGAACTATTAAAAGGACTGAACTTGATAGTCATATCCACCCTGCCTCTACATACTCTTATCCCTACCCAATAACCAATCCTTTCTACCCATTAGCTTCCTTGTACTTTTTGCCCCAAGACACATGCTTTTGTCACAGAGACATTCATGTCTCAAGCAGAGTGGCTCTCTGCAGCCCTTAACACAGCAGACCTTGAGTGTGGCAAGAGCACTGAAATGAGCAGATATTCACTATGGATCCACAGTTCATTAGGGAAATCACCTATCCCTTCCCCAATCTCTTTATTCAAACTGTCTCTGACTTGGAGACTTGTTGCCCAATTTGTCTCATTACACTGTGACTCTTACAGACAGAACCCTGTGTATGTGTTTTCTTCAGGTATTCTCCAAGTTGTGAATCTTTCACTTGAACACATCCTATTTATAATTCATTATCTACCCAACTCAAGATAACACCTGGACAGCAACTAAACTGTCTTAAACAACAGCACCATCTAGTGATCAGTACAGCAAGCCATCTGACTGTTTTCTAATGGTACCTTTTTTTTAGCCTCCACAACCAAGGCACACTTAAGCTTCCCACTTCCCTGCTACTCAAATAATAGGTTAATTCTACCTCAACTCTCTCTCTCACATTATCTTTAACTTCTTTTACTCTTTCCCATTTCTTCCACCTCTTCCTTAGTTCAAAAATCATTTATCTGACTCCGTCTTCCCCAACCAAAAAAAAAACTGTCGAAATTTGGAAGTAAATAAGTCCTTTGTTGAAGGGTAGGAATTCTCATACCCACTTACCTTTTCGTTCCCTAATGAGGATAATACGTCTTTCTTTCACTTCCGAGCTCAGATTATCTACCATCTTATTAATACAATTGTCCAGAACCAGGGAGTGGGTTTTGGACTTTATGTCCTTCCGACAAATGGGGCATTCTATCTTCCGCTTCATCCATTCATTGATACAGAAGGAGCAGAAACTGTGGGCACAGTTCAAGGTGACAGCCTACAATAAGAATGGGAACATACATATCAGAACCGTCATGCTTACATTCTCAGAGCGGATGTGATCTCAAAGCTAGGACAGGAGCTAATTTCCAAAGCCAAATGGAAAGTTAACCACAATTTCATCTGGAGGACTTATAAAGGGTATTAGAATCACTTTGGGGGTTGGGAAGTTTTAAGCTTCATGTTAGACAATTCATTTCCTCCTTTCTCAAACTTAAGATCATAGACTCAGGCCTCAGGTAGGCTGATCTGTCTGTTTTGTCCCACCAACTCAGACCACACTGCCAATGTGGGTTGGCCACCTTGCAAACAAATGTCACTGAACACAAGTAGGACTAGTAAGTATGTGAATGTAGTGGTACTAATTCTCTTATGAAAAATTTATGTCCTGCTAATAGTGAATAAGAACCTCAATTCTAATATACGAAGAAGAGTGCATACTGAATACTCAGTAGATAGACTGGTAGGAGGTTATCATCTCTAAAGAAACTAAAAAAGCAAAATAATGTAAAAGGGAACTAAAAAAGCTGGGTGGGAAAGGAACTAAAAAATGTAAAACATGTAATGGGTTCACTGACAGTGCCTGAAGCCCTAAGTAAATAAGCCTATGAAGAGAGAGAAAGCAGAAGTCTGTATTTACATTTGGGGCTCCTCTGAGTATCCTTCTGGTCAGATTTCTGCCAGAGACCTTTTCACTCCCCAAAATATAAACCATTCTCTTTGTTCCTCTTGTATCCCCTAAGATAGAACCTTTTCTGAGGCTGAAAAGTCCTCATTCCTGCTTTTAGGATGGCAGTGGAAAATAAAACAGAAATTATGTATTTTCCACATGCCACGTGGAGCCCAGAAAGCTAAAAAAATAGGAGATATTCGGGGCCGGCCCGGTGGCGCACTGGATAGTGCGCCGCTTGGGAAGCGCGGCGGCGCTCCTGCCCGAGGGTTCGGATCCCACATACAGACCGGTTCCCGCTCACTGGCTGAGCGAGGCGTGGGAGCAACGCCGAGGGTTGCGATCCCGTTGCCGGTCCCCGGTCCGGTACGGGGGCGACACTGAGGGTTGCGATCCGTTGCCGGACACGGAAAAAGACAAAAGACAAAAAAAAAAAAAAAAATAGGAGATATTCTATTTGCTAATTGAGATAAACACTCATAAGTAGGACTAAAACCCTGTCTAATTAAAATAAAACATCTTCCTAAGACTAACTTGAAGAGGTTACCAGTAGATAGGTCAGGCAGTATTCTGTAAACAAAACACAGGTCAAGTCGTTTGTCTCTTCTATGTCTGTGCAGATGCTCTTGGTTGGAAGAGCGCAAAAATATGACAGAATAACAGGGGACGGCCCGTGGCTCATTTGCAAGTGTGGTACTGATAACACCAAGGCCACGGGTTCGGATCCCATATAGGGATGGCCAGCTAGCTCACTTCAGAGAGTGTGGTGCTGACAACACCACCAAGTCAAGGGTTAAGATCCCCTTACTGGTCATCTTAAAAAAAAAAAGACAGAATAAGAAATGGTAGCCTAGGAGCAAGAGATTCATTTTCATAAGAAGCATGAGAGTCCATGAAATATATTCAGCTTGGCCCCTAAATTCCCAAAGTAACTACACATCAATGACACTTACCACCCTGTTTAAAAGACTGCACTACAAGCCTACTGTCAGCACTGTGTCTACTTAGAGAAAAGAAAGAGCAAGTTTAATGTCATGTGGCCCCATTCCCCCCGCCCCAACAACAAAGAGATAAAGGCTTTATTGCAACTAAAAATGTTAATTTTACCAAATAAATATTTAAAAAAAGCAAAATAAGAAAAAGGACAGTGAAGGGAAAGAAAGCTACAGAAACAAAGGAAAAGTAGCCATCTCTAGAGGTCACTTTGAAATCAAATAGCTATAATAAGTTCCTGGAAGAAAATCTCTTCACAATGTTTTTCTATAACAGAAGCAACCTATATAGACCAGGCTCCATTCAGGGTTGGGAGATTGAAAAGGGGTGAGCCAATGTTCATAATTACCTCAATGAAGTATTCTGAGCAAATAATACATTGGAGCTCATTCTCTAGCACGTCATTCATGTGGCTAAGAACTTCCTCCTTCTGTGCTTGCACCTTTTCCTTCTCTTCCTGCAAAGACAATACAACCCCAACCTGTCGCTTGGGAAAAACAACAAGAATGCAAAACAGGACAAGGGAGCAGGGTTAATTGTCCAGAGCAGGATTCAGGAGTCTAATTTAAAAATGCATTCTGGCACAGCGACCAAGAATAAAACACTTTCCCTGTGGGAGGTGCTCAAGATTTCCTTTCTAATATAGAGCACTAACTTCCTTTCTTTCCTTTCCCAACCTGTTACGGTCTACGTTTGTGTGTCTTCCCCTCCTCTCCATTCATATGTTGAAACCTAATCCTCAATGTGATAATGTTAAGAGATAAGGCTTTTAGGAGGTGATTAGTGGCCTTTTAAAAGGCCCAAGGGAGCTTGTTTGCCCCTTCCACCATGTGAGGACACAGTGAGAAGGCACCATCTGTGTAGCAGAAAATGCACCCTCACCAGATGCCAGACCTGCAAGCACCTTGATCTTGTACTTCACAGCCTGCAGAACTGTGAAAAATTAATTTCTGTTGTTTAAAAGCTAACCAGTTTATGGTATTTTGTTATAGCAGCCCAAACAGACTAAAACACTACTTTTTCAGTATTTGCACTGTAGTTTCTGTCTCCTTCTCCAAAATTCACAAAATGAGAAAAAAATGAAAGTGGCATACTTACCCCACCATGATCAGAACGAGGCATAAAGTATTCTATAGCAAGGTGCAGTTCAGAACTGATATGAAATCATCTTAAATTAAAAGGTCCAGGTCTGTATGTGGAGGGGGGTGGGATGAAAGATGTAATCACTGGACAAGAAAGACATGAAGAATAGTCCAGACAGACAGGAAGCCTGAATTAGTTACAGGTCCCTTGTAGTTCTTTGCAGCTGCCTCCTTTATGACAGAAGGATAATACCTATATTCCCCCGAGGTAGGAGGCTGGAGAGATGGCCTCTTCAAGTACTTTCCAGATGCAAGCTTTGTGATTCTTGTCACTTCCTACTCCTGCAGGGGTCTGTAGTGCAATGTGCTTTCCCCAAGAGGTCAGACTGCTTGTGGACATACTTTTTAGGGAGGATCCTAGGCATGCTCTCTTGAAACAGACATTTATTTAAGTTAGTACCTCATCCCCCAAAAGCATCAAGAGCCCCTGAGGAGGAGAGAAAAAGCCATTTGGGGTATACTGAGTGGTTGGTTCATTTTTCACCTTTTATTTTATCTTCCAAGCAAAGCAGACTGTCAGACTGCTTAGGGCAGTGAAGAGGATCTGGACCCATTCTTAACTAGAGTCAAGTTCCCTGTCAAGTTCCCTGAAAACTTAAGAATGACTGGGTTTAGAAAGACGTGGTAGTTTCTTAGAGGATGGAGAAAAAGGTACTTTGTGATTTAAACAGAGAATAAGGATACCAAACCAACTGAAAAAAAGAGTCCCCTTCTTTCTGTACTCAGTTCTAGGTCTGCATGTGGAGTAGGGTGGAATGAGAGATGTAATCAGACCCAGGCATTAATTTAAAGACAGAGGTTGAAAACTGGTGGCCTATGGACTGGATCCAGTCTGCACACATGTTTAATTTGGTCTTTAATTTGGTCTTAAAAACACATACAACTGAACCTGTTGCCAATATTTGAAAACTGCAATATTTCACAAGAACATTTGGATTTCTATGTGTTGTGGAAAAATCGGAAATTCTGATGACATTGGGTCTACATTTCTGGATGGCAACAATGGCTGAGCAGAGAAGAGCTGCCTCCTGGAGTAGGGGTTAGGGGAGAGCACCCGTTCCAGTTTGCTACAGTTTTCACAGCTCTCTACTGGTTCTTATACCCAGGCCACTTCACTCACCCTTGTTGCTTGCCTGGCCCTGGTGGGAATCTAAGTTTTTTTTTTGTCCTTTTTGAGACCGGCCGCACCGGGCTCAGCCAGTGAGTGCACCGGTCATCCCTATATAGGATCCGAACCCACGGTGGGAGCGCTGCTGCACTCCCAGCGCCACACTCTCCCGAGTGCGCCACGGGCTCGGCCCGGAATCTAAGTTTATAACCCCTAATTTAAGAGTCCTACTGATTTGATGTGGGAAGAAATTTCACAAATGCATCAAGATGAACTATTTTTCATCTTTGACTATAACACTCCTTAGTCTGCATCAGTGACAGACCCTGAAGGAGCATCTACCACAGACACAGGACTAGAAAACACAGGATCCAAGTGCTTCATCCCAAGCATTTTGTTTCTGAACAAGGGAAAGAAATAGATGTTGTCTTACAGGCAGAACCTTCCATAGGCATGAATAATTTTACAGATTATTTCCCCCGAGGCAAGGAGCAGCCATAATCTCTCTTCATTCACCACAGCAACCCTTGGACCGCTGAAAATGCTGAGTTGCATGTACTAACCAAATTCTAAACCTCCATCTTCTTTCCAGTACCTTGGTCTGCTCCAATTCTTTATTCTTGGCTTGAATGATTGCTTCAAAGTTCGTCTTGCTGCGATTTAGCTCTTCCATTAGAGCACGATGCTGCAGAAACATAGCAGACACATACTCAAGATAGAGTATGCATCTATCCTTTTAGCCACACCCGCACCTACTGACTCCCTCTAGTCAGTGACTGGTTCTTTCCAGAGTAATTTGTGCATCCCCCAAAGAAATCAAGGCAGGCACGCTGCCATGCTTACAACTATTATGTGACCGTTAGCATTATAAGGTTGGGAGGTAGATATTCAATAAAAGAACAGAAGGATAAATCCAAATCCCCCTAAATAAATTCTAATAATATTTGCACACTCTTCTCAAAGAGATTTGAATCATCCCTAATTCCATCCCATAGTCTAACCTCCTGACTAAACTTGCATCAAATTACAAATCATAATACATAAAAGACAGATGATAAAACAGGTATTTAAGATGCAAAAGAACACATAAAAAATAATCAAATGAGAGAAGTACTCAAGTTAAATGAATAAATTACAGGAAATCTTTTAGCAGAATTTTATTCCTGTGAGCTTTACTCTTTTGGTAAATCACTGTTTGCTGACTATTAAACTGCATATTCTCAACATGACCTAAATGCTTACATGGAACATTCTTGATTGATTTCTGGATGGCTAAATCTCAGGGACAGTGAGGTAATGGGGGCCATCACAGGCCCTGATGGCCAAGTCATAGCTTACATTTCCCCTCTGCTGCCTACACCTTTCTGGAAGTAGAGCCATTCCCCAGAAAGCCTCCTAATTGCTACAGGCTCTGTTCCATCTTCACCAGAGCAATTTCTGCTCAGATGAAGATGTAAATCTTCACACTGAGGTCTGGCATGTCTGTGAGGCTCCAAATCTCTGACCTGACGATGTAAGCAGCTGCCACCTGCTCTGTTTACAGACTGGAGATGCCACAGAGGTGTGGGCTAAGCAGCAGAGGCAGCCAGCAGCCACGTGATGCCTGGCTGTTCCCAACTCCACAGCCTGCTATAATCTCAGCACAGTGGCAAGAGATAAGTTACCTCCTGCAGAGCCTGAGCCAGCTGTTGCTTCAGGTCCTCTTCTCCTTGCTCTTTCTTCAAACCCTGCAAAGCCAAAACAAAATGGATGTTTTCCCTGCAGGAAGGGAAAAAAGGAACAAAATCCAGCAACAAACACAGCAGACCAGCTAGTGTGAGCATCTGGAAACAACAGGAGGCAGGGAGCAGGTGGAAAATCTCTCATTTTACTTCAAGCTGTTGGCAGTAAAGGATTTGAACGGAGCTATCTGCTCAAATACAGCACACTCAGAACTGTCACCCTCAAGCCACCACTTGGGTTGTTCCGGAAAAACTATGGGCTAACAGTCCAAACCTTCTTCACTGGCTAATGCCATGACTCCCAAAAGGATGTAAACTGAGAAGTTACAAGCCACCAAATATCTAAACTCAGATATAATTCCCTGTGCTGTATCACTCACAAGATCCACCATGTTTCTTCCTGTAATTCTGGCCATCCTGTCTCTTCATTCTGAGTCTCTACCACCGTTAGCCTATAAACTGCTCTTCCTTGCTCCTTGCCTGCACTTATGCTATATTTCCTCAATCAGCCCCCTCCAATGTGGATGCCTTCCACATCATCATTAATCTATGTTCAGCACCTTCCACAGAACCTCTGGGCCCTTCCCTCCTGAAGAATTACCTACCCATTTAACAAGCCAACTTGGAACTGTTCTTTAGTTTAATAGATTGACTGAAAACTGTTCTCCTATAATATTATGTGTGTAACACATCTTGCCTCCTCAATGAGAATGGCAAAAAAAGCTATTATTAAGCATCTTTATAACCATGAAAACTTCCATGTTTAGTGCCAGGCAAAGTGGGTGCTCAAAAAAAAATCTGTGTGAAGCAGCGAGGTTAAATGAGCTTCTGAACAAGTAGCAGGGGTAGGATAAATCCCTAAGGCTTGGTGGGCAGAGGGAAACATGGCTAATACAAGGGGCTAGATACACTTCACAATGAGCAATTTATACATGACCTTCTCATACCTGGAGAAATTCTTTAAACTAGTCTTTTTTGCCTTGCTTTAACATTTTGGTACAGAAAAAGATTTTGCAGCTATGCCTTGAAGCATGCTCAGTGCAGCTACAAATATTAATGAACAGTAACTTTTGTTACTAAACACATTAGGCTTTAAAGAGAGCTTTGCTCTGATGAAAGTGTGATACATTAAATACGTAGACATAACCCACCCTCTATTAATTTCAAGAACTAGTCTAGGCTGGATAAGGGAAGCAAAAGGTATACACAAGCAACCAGCATATACCCTAAAAGACCTATTTAATCCTCGGCCTTTGCTAATACTACCAGTTCAAGGGAATAGCAGAGATAAGAATGAAATTTATAAATTGTTCAGAAATAAGTCAACACTACTCCTGGTTGTTCCTTGCCCTAAGCAACCCAAACAAAAGATAAAAGCTTGTTTACTTTAGTCGTGATTGGTTCTTCTCAGTTCTAAGTCAACAACGGGGAATTCTTGACACTCAATATTACCTCAGCTACTGGGTAGGAGTAAAATGTGTGATTTCTGCCAGATGGGAAATGACATTTTGAGCAGGGACAGGATCAGGTCTAGCCTTAGATTTGTGCAAAAGCTTGTCATCTAAGCAAATGATTTGGGGATGGGAACACTTTTGGTCTTACCCTGACATAGCTAAGACAGTCATTAGTTTACCTTCCTACTAAAGGCACTGTGGAAGGTGTCTTATCACTCAACCCAATAGCAGAGTCATGGTATACTTGTCCCCTCACATGCTGGCTACTCAAGATAGAAACAAAAACATTTTCTGCCTTTCTTGCCTCCCACCTCCTAGGTTAGCTACAGAGTTAGTTACATAGCCAACAAGCTTCCAGGTACAAGGGCAGAGTAACCAGCTGACCTGCAGGTGCTTGGGGCTAATTGATTTGGCTTTGATCATAGAACATAAATAAGTCATGAAGACAACTATTGGTTTAATCGGTGTATACTATGGTTTTTGTGGCTTCCTGACCTTTATCTGACTTCTCCCTAAATTTACCTTGGTTCTGAGAAGCCTCAGCTTTGTATCCTGAGATCACTTATGTCCTCGTTGGTTATGCCAGTCATGTTACCCTATCATGGCTCCCCAACTCTGGCTCCTGATCTCATCAGCATGCTGAAGTCTTAACCCCTTATTCAACCCCTGTCTCTTATCTCAAAGTTTTCTGTTCCCATTCCATCTCCTGTCCCTGGTGCTCACTATTTGGTCCCTAGCCCAGAAACAGATAGCTCTGGCCAGAGGTTTACAAAGCACCTGCCCATCCCTGAGGGGCACTCTTGCCTTTCCCTCCTGTGTGGTACCTGGAGATGCTGTTGCTCTTCCTGGAAAGTCTTCTCTAGTAGCTCCACTCTTGCCTGCTGCTGAGCTTGCTCCACATATAGCTGGGACTGTAAATCCTGCAGTTCCTGCTCCATTTTCACAATTTTCTTTGAGTTCCCTTTTTGGGTCTGCTTTTTCACATTCAGAACAGCTACCCTTTTTTCCTGCATCAGTGTTTTCAGCTTCAGAATCCTGGACATGGTCTCCTTAAACAGCAATAAGCTGCTCTGAGATGCTGAAGGGTTTGAGGCTTTCTGCTTCTTATTATCAAGCTCTACAACTTTGGGGGGGCCGGGGTAAATATGAGCCCCTGTGATCTTCCCACTTGGCTCAAAAGAAGTCAATTTAGAATCCACATATTCAGATGGTTGACTGGGCACTTCATCTTTCTCATGTGACTTTATTGGCTGACCCAGTTCACAAGACACTCTACTTATTTTGGATTTCAAATTTGAGGGGCCTTCAGCTCCAGGACCCTCTAATTCATCCAAACTAAATTTCCTTTTACTTCTCCAGTCCTTATTTTTTCCCATCATCTGGTCGCTCTTTGGTGCAAGATGGGGGTACATCTTCTCCCACTCTTCTTCAGTAACTTCATATTCATACTCCGCATTCTCCTTATTTTCCAGAGGCACCCCAAGCTGAATGTGGTCTCCTTTATGGATGGAATAGACCTTTAAAGGTTCCAGACGCTCTCTGTTCAGCCAAACACCATTCAGACTCTGGGGAAAGGGAAAGAAAGATGAAATAAACTTCATGATTTTCCTCTTAATGAAATTTCTCTCCTGCTGCTGCAAATCCTTCTGCCTTTTCAGAAGGAAAACCCTTGAAAACAAATAAGAAAGGTTCATAAACCACCATCCTTAAAACAGCATTCTTTTTTTTTTTTTTTTTTTGTCTTTTTCCATGTCCGGCAACGGATCGCAACCCTCAGTGTTGCCCCCGTACCGGACCGGGGACCGGCAACGGGACCGCAACCCTCGGTGTTGCCCCCACGCCTCGCTCAGCCAGTGAGCGGGAACCGGTCTGTATGTGGGATCCGAACCCTCGGGCGGGAGCGCCGCCGCGCTTCCCAAGCGGCGCACTTATCCAGTGCGCCACCGGGCCGGCCCCCAAAACAGCATTCTTCAGGGCCGGCCTGGTGGCACACTGCTACAGCGCGCCGCTTGGGAGCGCGGCGGCGCTCCCGCCCGAGGGTTTGGATCCCACATACAGACCGGTTCCCGCTCACTGGCTGAGCGAGGCGTGGGGGCAACACCGAGGGTTGCGGTCCCGTTGCCGGTCCCCGGTCAGGTACGGGTGCAACACTGAGGGTTGCGGTCCGTTGCCGGACACGAAAAAAGACAAAAGACAAAAAAAAAAAAAAACCAGCATTCTTCAAACGTGACTTTGGCTTTTTACCTATATTTCACATTCATGCCTCCACAGAGAACTGCCTACAAACCAGGCAGGAATCACCTTATTACTTGTGGATGAATTACTCAAACAAATGCAATAGCACTACAGAAAACTGAAAGTGAATAGCTCCTATTAACCTAAACTAGAGCCAATGGCCCAAGACTGGAAAAAATGCTATTAGTGAAGGAAGCAGCATCTAATGGTAAGGTCCATGAAGTAGGCCTGACCAGGAAAGTCACTCAAGTACTGTCTCTGGATGTGGTCCCTCAATAGTGAACAAGCAAAACAATTCCTAGTATATGTAAACCAAACAAAAGTACCAATATTTTGTACTGGGGTCAAACTGCTGGTGGGATCTGACCCAATTAATAACAACAGAGGTCCATGAACAATACAGCATAGTGGTTAAGAGCTAGAGCTCTGATTAACAGAGAAACACAGGATTTAAACTATACTTTAGACCAGCTGGATTTGGCAGACACCTATAGAACATTTCATCCAACAACTACAGAATATACTTTCTTCTCTCCAGCATATAGAACATTCTCCAGGATAGACCACATGTTAGTTCACAAATCAAGTCTCCACAAATTTTAAAAACCTAAGATCATTTCAATTATCTTTTCAGACCACAACACATTAAAACTAGAAATCAATAACAAGTGAAACTATGGAAACTATACAAATTTTCATATTACACGTGAAAATTAAACATGTTCCTGAATGACCTATGGGTCAAAAAAAGAAATTAAACAGGTAATCAAAAAATTCCTTAAAACTAATTAAATTTAAAACTAAGAAACTTTATTTTCTTAAAAAATAAAGATATACCAGGCCGGCCCGTGGCTCACTCGGTAGAGTGCGGTGCTGATAACACCAAGGCCACGGGTTCGGATCCCATATAGGGATGGCCGGTTTGCTCACTGGCTGAGCGTGGTGCTGACAACACCAAGCCAAGGGTTGAGATCCCCTTACCGGTCATCTTTTAAAAAAAATAATAAAATAAAGATATACCAAAACGTGGGATACTGCGAAAGCAGTACCAAGAGGGAAGTTTATTGCAAAAAAATGCTTACATAAAAAGAATAGAAAGACTTCAAATAAACAACCTAACGTTACACCTCAAAGAAGTAGAGAAACAAAAACAATACAATCCCAAAATTAGTAGATGGAAAGAAATAATTAAGATAAGAGCAGAACTAAATGAAATAGAGACCAAAAAAAAAAAAAAATGAAACAAAAGATTAATGAAACAAAAGGCTGGTTTTTGGAGAAGATAAATAAAATAGACAAACCATTAGCTAGACTGACTGAAAAAAGAAAAGACCCAAATAACAAAAATCAGAAATGAAAAAGGAGACATTATAACCGGTAACACAGAAATACCAAGAATCATTACAGACTATTATGAACAACTATACACTAACAAATTTGAAAACCTGTAAGAAATGGATAAATTTCTGGACTCATACAAACTACCAAGACTGAACCAAGAAGAAAGAGAAAACCTGAACAGACCAATAACAATCAATGAGATTGAAGCAGTAATCAACAATCTCCCAACAAAGAAAAGCCTGGGACCAGATGGCTTTACTGCTGAATTCTACCAAATCTTTAAAAAGGAATTAATATCAATTGTCTTCAAACTATTCCAAAAAATTGAAACAGAGGCCTTTCTCCCAAACTCTTTCTATGAGGCCAGCATCACCCTGATACCAAAATCAAAGACAGAACAACAACAACAACAAAACACCACAGACCAATATCTCTGATGAACACAGATGCAAAAATCCTCAACAAAATATAGCAAACAGAATACAGCAGCACATCAAAAACATTACACACCATAATCAAGTGGGATTCATTCCAGGGATGCAAGGATGACTCAACATATGCAAGTCAATAAATGTGATACACCACATCAACTAAATCAAAGACAAAAAATATGACCACCGTAACAGGTGCAGAAAAAGCATCTGACAATATTCAACATCTCTTCATAATAAAGATTCTCAACAAATCAGATACAGATGGAAAATATCTCAACACAAGAAAAGCCATATACAACAAACCCACCACGAAAATCATCCTGAATGCCTTCAGCTTTCAGCTTTTCCCTTAAGAACAAGAACTAGACAAGGATGCCCACTCTCACCACTCCTATTTAACATACCACTGGAAGTATTAGCCAGAGCAATCAGGCAAGAGAAAGACATGAAGAGCATCCAAATTGGAAAAGACAAAGTCAAATTGTCCCTATTTGCAGATGACATGATCCTATATACAGAAAAACCTAAAGACTCTACCAAAACACTCTTAGAGCTGATAAATAAATTCAGTAAAGTTGCAGGATATAAAATCAACACACAAAAATCAGTAGTGTTTTTATACTCCAACAACAAACCAGCAGAACAAGAAATCAAGAAAGCAAGCCTGTTTATAATAGCCACCAAAAAAAAATAAAGTAAGTAGGAATAAATTTAATCAAGGAGGTAAAAAATCTCTACAATGAGAACTACAAATCACTGCTGAAAGAAATTAAAGAGGACACAAAATGATGGAAAGATATTCCCTGCTCATGGATTGGAAGAATTAACATCGTGAAAATGTCCATACTATCCAAAGTGATCTACAGATTCAGTGCAATCTCCATCAAGATACCAATGACATTCTTCACAGAAATAGAAAAACAATCCTAACATTCATATGGAAAAATAAAAGACCCTGACAATCAAAGCAATCCTGAGCAGAAAAAATAAGGCAATAGGCATTATACTACCTGACTTCAAATTATACTACAAAGCTATAGTAACCAAAACAGCATGGTACTGGCATAAAAAAAGACACATGGACCAATGGAGCTGAATGGAGAAGCCAGAAATAAATCCATGTACTTACAGCCTGCTGATCTTCAACAAAGGCACCAAGAACATACACTGGGTAAAACACAGCCTCTTCAATAAATGGTGCTGGGAAAACTGGACATCCACATGTAGAAGAATAAAACTAGACCTGTACTTCTCACCATACACCCAAATCAACTCAAAATGGATTAAAGACTTAAATATAAGACTTGAAACTATAAAACTCTTAGGAGAAAACATAGGGGAAACACTGCAGGATGTAGGACTGGGCAAGGATGTAGGAATAAGACCTTCAAAGCACAGGCAATAAAAGAAAAATGTAAACAAATGGGATTATATCACACTAAAAACACAGCAAAGGAAACAATCAACACAGTGAAAAGACAACCTACAGATGGGAGAAAATATTTGCAAACTATGCATCTGACAAGGGATTAATATCCAGAATATATAAGGAACTCAAACAACAGTGAAAAAACAAGTAACTTGATTAAAAAATGGCCAAAAGAGCTGAAGAGACATTTCTCAAAGACACACAAATGGCCAACAGATACATGAAAAAATGCTCAACATCACTCAGGGAAATGCAAATCAAAACCACATTGAGATATCTTCTCACCCAGTTAGACTGGCTATTATAAAAAAGACATAGAATAACAAATGCTGACAAGGATGCAGAGAAAGAGGAACCATCCTACACTGTTGGTGGGACTATAAATTAGTACAACCATTATGGAAAACAGTATGGAGTTTTTTCAAACAACTACAGATAAAACTGCCATACGATCCAGCAATCGCACTGCTGGAGTATATACCCAAAGGAATGGAAATCATCATGTTGAAGGGATAGCTGCACTCCCATGTTCATGGCAGCTCTATTTACAATAGCCAAGAGATGGAACCAACCTAAATGTCCATCAACAGACAACTGGACAAGAAAAATGTAGTATATATACACAATGGAATACTACTCAGCCATAAAAAAGAATGAAATTCTGCCATTTGCAGCAACAAGGATGAACTTAGAGAAAATTAAGTGAAATACACCAGGCACAGAAAAAGAAATACCACATGTCCTAACTCATAAGTGGGACTAAAAAATAAACAAATAAATAAAAAAGAAACAAAGATACAACAATCACAATAATGTGCTGAACTTTCAAAAGGAGAGAACAGAACCATGGTTACCAGAGGTGGGAAAGGGGGATGGTTAACAAGAAATTGGTAAAGGGTCACAAACAATGATTATGTTCTGTAATGATGAATATACTAATTATCCTGATTTGATCATCATACATTGTACACAGGTATTGATATGCAACTTTGTACCCCACAAATATGTATAATCAATTATGTTTCAATTAAAAAAAAAAAAAAAAGAGCTGGAGCTCTGTACTCAGACAGACTTGAGTTCATAGCCCAACTACACCAGTGTGGGCTTATTAGTTGCATAGCCTTTG